TGGCAAACAGAGAGAGATAGAGAGATACGTTACTGGCAAACAGATAGAGAGATACGTTACTGGCAAACAGAGAGAGATAGAGAGATACGTTACTGGCAAACAGATAGAGAGATACGTTACTGGCAAACAGAGAGAGATACGTAAGGCTAGAATTAATAGCAGAAGATAAAATTCAGTAACCGTAAGTTTGACACTTGAGGGAGATTATACTAATTACATTTGTTGTGGAAAATTAGGTCGTTATATTTTCTGTCTGTAAAGCTTCATATTTCGTTTCAATTTTAATGTTTAATAATAAAAAAACTCTTTTTCTAACTTGCTTGTAATATTAGTTTTGTTGGTATAGAAACTTTGAATTAAACAGACACGTTGATTGTTTATACAAAGGTTTTACTCAGTGAAGACGAATGACTTTAACTTACAACAAATAAATACATAATTATACTTACACGTGCTGTGCTACTATTTGAAAGTAGACATATTTTTCTGTCTGTAGATACTTGATATGTTTATACTCATACACTAATATCAAACAATTATTTCTTATTAACATCGAACTTACTTTACATATAGATTAAAAGTTTAGCCTTATTAGAGGCTTTCATACAATTAAGATAAGGTTGAAAAGAAAGATTCTAATTTTAATAGAAATGTCAGCATAAAATTTACATTATCAAACTTAGTACACGTAAAAACCATTCATGTATATTATGCATGCCCAAAATGATCACTGTTTTTTTTTTTAAATGTTTTTCTCTTTGGTATGGAAGTCGTATCCTACATTTTGCTACAGCTCTCCTTAAATATGAATATAACCTTTAAGTTTTTGTCTTTTAACTGCTTCCTCAAGTATTTAGTATGTTTTAAAATTAAATCATAATGTCAGAAAAAGACAAGTAAAAGAACGTAATTTGTTACGGTTTTTATAGTTAACAACATAAAACATTTTGAATTTGTTGCTATACTGTAATAATCATTGTCAAATTGTGGTACGTTCACTTGGACTTTTCAAAGACTCATTTTCACCGCCTACTCTAAATTTATTACATATATATCTATATCCAAACAATTTATTTTCATATTATGAGATAAAAAATAACAATTAATTAAAGACTATTGTTGGTTTACAACATTGAGTTGCAAAGAAGATTCCTCCAAATTTGTGCAAAGAAATACATGTATGCGCTAGCGACAAAAGTAAGATGAAAATAATTAATGCATTGCAAAAATAACAAATTAATTAAATACCTGTTTTTATACTAAGTATAATTTTCATTGTTTCTCAAAGAACGTGAGTTTCTTAAGCAGGCTGTTCATAAGAGGCCTGAATTTCGTGTTTGACCGTCTTAGAATCAGTATGAAAATAAATGTTCCGTATTTCCAAAGAATATATTCAATTCAGCAGAAACTCTGATGTTCGTGGATGTTTCTTGCAGAAAGCATGTCGAGATGAATAACATGTGTCAATATTATTTTACGAGAAGTTGTTAAGGTAGTGGCAATTTGGTGTAAAAAGTTGTAAACAAGTGTTTATTCTGTTTTTATTAATGTTTAGTTTAATATCATTTAATCCAATTTCGTGAGGAGTGGACGTGATAATAAACTTCTAAACTGGAAAGCAAATCAGGTAAAATTAAAACATCTAATTTTATATTATGTTAACTAGAACAAATAAATTATGTTTCTGGGGAGAACTGAAACAAACTATGCTGATGTTTCTGGGGAGAACTGAAACAAACTATGCTGATGTTTCTGGGGAGAACTGAAACAAACTATGCTGATGTTTCTGGGGAG